CACACTTCTCCAGCTGGGGGCTTCCAACCTGTCAGAGGGTCCTGGAATCAAAATAAACAGGTCCTAGCTCCCTGGGAGTGCCTATTGTGCCTATTCCACTAAAGGATTTGGGGAATAATAGAGAGATAATTTCACTTAAAGCATTAATCTTTTTAGGGAGAACTTGATTTTTGGTCTTTTTTTTTTTTTTTGAGATGGAGTCTTGCTCTGTCACCCAGGCTGGAGTGCAGTGGCATGATCTCGGCTCCACTGCAACCTCCGCCTCCCAGGTATGAGCGATTCTCTGCCTCAGCCTCCCAAGTAGCTGGGATTACAAGTGCCCACCACCACCACCACACCCAGCTAATTTTTGTATTTTTAGTACAGATGGGGTTTCACCATCTTGGCCAGGCTGGTCTTGAACTCCTGACCTCGTGATCCACTCGCCTCAGCCTCCCAAAGTGCTGGGATTACATGCATGAGCCACTGCAACCGGCCTGGTCTTTTTGTTTTTTAAGCAGGTATCTTTTTTTTTTTTTTTTTTGAGACGGAGTCTTGCTCTGTCACCAGGCTGGAGTGCAGTGGCTTGATCTCAGCTCACTGCAACCTCCGCCTCCCAGGTTCAAGCAATTCTTCTGCCTCAACCTCCTGAGTTGCTGTGACTACAGGCACCACCATGCCCAGCTAATTTTTGTATTTTTAGTAAAGACAGGGTTTCATCATGTTGGCCAGGATGGTCTTGATCTCTTGACCTCATAATCCACCTGCATCAGCCTCCCAAAGTGCTGGGATTACAGGCGTGAGCCACCGTGCCCGGCCCCTTAAGCAGGTGTCGAGTTGGCATAGCCATAATCATTCATACTTCTCTCTTTTTTTTTTTCTTTGAGACAGGGTCTCACTTTGTCACCCAGGCTGGAGTGTAGTGGCATAATCTTGGCTCACTGCAGCTTCAACCTCTTGGGCTCAAGGGATCCTCCCACATCAGACTCCCGAGTAGCTGGGACTAAAGGCACATGCCACCACGCCTGGCTAATTTTCATATTTTTTATAGAGACAGGATTTCATCATGTTGCCCAGGCTGGTCTCAAACTCCTGGACTTAAGTGATCCTCCCACCTCAGCCTCTAAAAGTGCTAGAATTATAGGTGTGAGCCATTGCACCTGATCAACACAATCGTAATTCTTAACATATGATCACCATATGCTGGGAGAATGCCCTCCTATACTCCTGAGCCTAGCCATGGTACTCTCAGAAGTAAGGGTGCATATTCCTTGTCCCTGGGGGGGTGTGTGGCTCTGCCCTCTGCAGTGGGCATCAGAGTGTGTGGGTGCCCCCCTATATCCAGGGCCACGAGTTCAGTGACAGAGTGGGCTGTGAAACAGGAGGCATGGGGATGTGGGTGGAGTGCAGCCCTGTAATGACACCTGCAGTCCCCACGTGCACCCCGAGTTTCTCAGGCTCCTCTTCCTCTTTTCTTGGAGGCCCTTAGCACAGGACCCAGAGCAGCAAAGCTCTCAGCCCTCCCAGTGCTGACTGTCTGCAGAGATCCAAGTACTTGCTCTGGGCAAGGCCCTGGTTGCCAGCATCTGGAGGCTGCCAGTGGGCACGGCGTGGCCGGGAGCTGCCTTAGCTGCTCCGGCTTGGGAGAGGGACCATTCCACAGGCGCTCGAACCATAAATGTCCAGACACAGAATCACATGAGAGCCATCCTCAGCAGACCAGGCAGGGCTGCCTCCCAGGGAGAGCTGGGTAACCCGAGCTGCTGGCAGGCCCTCAGGTCACTTCAGGAGCACAGAGTGGTCAGCTGATGCTCCTGGGGACCATTCATCACGTCTCCTAGCCCAGCCGGTACAGCCTCAGCTATTTCCAGGCCTGGGTATGCAGCAGCTTATGTAACTGGCTGGAAGTCGGGGCGGGGCTTAGGGGCACTTGTGGTAGGGATGGGGCTGCTCCTACCTCCCACTGTAAGGCCTGCCCCTCAGTCCCTAGTCTCCCTGTGGAGATTTGTGGGGAGCCCACAGCTCTGGCTAGAATCCCTGTGGACAGCCACTGTGCCTGTCAACACACCCCTCACTTCCTGTCCAGAAGATGCCTGGCCACCTTCCTTCCATGGAGTTGAGGCCACCAAGCAGCCTCTTCCTCAACCCCATCAGCCCTGCCCAGCCTCTGTGCTCTCACCCTCTCTTCCACCCTCAGAGGCAGAGTGGGTATGTCTGCTGCTGCCCCTCTGAGAGAACCTATGCACATTCCTGAAGCCCTCTCCTAGCTCCTGCAGACCTAGTCTGGTGGGTGGTGAAGCTGGGCTCAAATACACATATTCTCACTGTGGCTTGAGGCAGGCTTTGTACATCTGCTGAGCTCAGTTTCTTGTTTGGGAAATGGGATGAAAATAATAATATCTCCCTTTTGGTGTGGCTGTGACCGTGGGGCTTTAAGAGCACATTCCAGGAGGCAGATTGCCCAGCCCTGTCTATCTATGTGGCCTTGGGCCAGTCACTTAAGCTGTCTGGGCCTCAGTTTCCTCGTGTAGAACGGGACAGCGATATGACCTACCTCCCTCAGTTGTTGTGAGGATCCAGTGAGTTTTTATGCATAAAGCACTTAAAGAGTTCCTGGCATGAGGTCAGCACCATGTAAGTGTTGGCTATAATTAGACAATGTTTGGAGATCACTTTCCTCTGCCTTGGCTCCTAATAAGCTCTTGGTGAAAGGTAATTGTTATTTTTAACTTCTTCGTTCTCCTTCACTGTCTTAATTCCCACCTTCATTTAGCCTTGCAATTCCCTTTAAATACTTTATCTTCTCTCTTCTTTTGTTGTCAATCTGCTGTACTACCAATAAATTATATTTGTCCCATGTTTACATTCATAAAACATTTGCACTCCTGTCCCGACCTCACAGCAAACCCGTGAGCGAGCAGTGTGGCTCATGTCATTGCCCTCATTTTGAGAGCCCGGGACGGGGTGTGATCTGTACAGAAGCATCAGCTGCTCAGGGGTGTGTTCAAGCCACCAGTGAGGGTATTCCGACCTTGGGCACCAGAGCACACCGGGTGATGCACCCAGGGCGTGCCAGCTCAGTGCTGCCAGGGCAGATTAGCGCAGGGGGCCCTCCTGCTTCCGGTCCCAGCTGTGGAGCGCCCACATTATGGGAGGAGAGGCCTATGGGCTTTATAAATATTTCCCGTCCCAGCAGGAGCCCCTGCGGCCCCCAAGTGCTGTGCGGTGGTGCCCTCTGCTGGTAACAGGAGGTACTGCTACCTCTTATAAGGGAGGAAGGTGGATCCCTTCATATTCACGCAAAAAGCCAGCCAAGGCAGGCTATGTGCCAGGCCCTCTTCTAGGAACCACAGAGGAAAAGAACCTCGGAAAACCCCGTCCTTTCATGGAGGTGCCTTCCATGGGAGGGATAAAGACAAAAACATATATAAGAGAACGGCACACAACGAGAAGTAAAATGAAGAAAAACAGAACCGGGTGAGCTGCTAGAGAACGATAGAGGGCGCTAGCGATACGGAACGGCCAGACAGGGCTTCTCCGAGGAGGCGACAATGTAGCAGGGACCTCAGCGAAGCTAGGGAAAGAAAGGCCCCTACCCGGGGAAAGCCCATGGAAACACAGGACGAGTGGGAGGGCGCTGAGATGGGGAAAGTCTGGGTATGCCGGAAGAACAATGAGGCCCGTGTGGTTAAGGGCAGTGCCGAAAGAGGCCGGGCGCAGTGGCTCACACCTGTAATCCCAGCAGTTTGGGAGACCGAGGCAGGTGGATCACCTGAAATCAGGAGTTCGAGACCAGCCTGACTAACATGACGAAACCCCATTTCTACTAAAAATATAACAAATTAGCCGGGCGTGGTGGCAGGCGCCTGTAATCCCAGCTACTCGGGAGGCTGAGGCAGGAGAATCATTTGAACGTGGGGCGGAAGTTGCAGAGAGGCGAGGTTGCGCCATTGCACTCCAGCCTGGGCAGAGCGAGGCTCTGTCAAAAAAAAAAAAAAAAAAAAAAAAAAAAAAAAAAAAAGCAGCGAGCAGTGAGCAAGGTCCGAGAGGCGGAGGCCTCCAGCTCCTTCCTTACCACGTGGTGCATGAAGAAGGCAGAGCTGCTGCAGGCTCAGGAAGCAAAAGGAGAGGCCTAACCAGCATGCACTGGGCTGTGTGCAGGGCCTCACCGCTGCCTGTGAAGTGGGTATTCCTGTCATTACCACCATTTTGCAGAAGAGAAAACTGAGGCTGAGGAAGGTAGAGCTTGTGTGGTTTGCTCAAGGGTGGAAATACAAAGTCACAGAGCAAGGCCCTAAATCCAGGTTTGTCTCTAGTTTTTTGGTTGTTTCTTTTTTCTCTCTCTTTTTTTCTTTCTTTCTTGTGACAGGATCTCACTCTGTCACCCAGGCTGGAGTGCAGTGGCCAGTGGCACAATCACGGCTCACTGCAGCCTGGAACTCCAGGATTCAAGCGAGCCTCCCATCTCAGCCTCTCGAGTAGCTAGGACTAGAGACATTCAGATCTTTTGTTGTTGTTGTTGTTGTTGTTGTTGTTGAGAGGGAGTCTTGCTCTGTCCCCCAGGCTGGAGTGCAGTGGTGAGATCTCGGCTCACAGCAAGCTCTGCCGACCGGGTTCACACCATTCTCCTGCCTCAGCCTCCCGAGTGGCTGGGACTACAGGCGCCCGCCACCACGCCCGGCTAATTTTTTGTATTTTTAGTAGGGACGGGGTTTCACTGTGTTAGCCAGGATGGTCTTTATCTTCTGACCTCGTGATCTGACCGCCTCGGACTCCCAAAGTGCTGGGATTACAGGTGTGAGCCACCGCGCCCGACCGACACTCAAATCATTTAAAAAATTTTTTTGTAGAGACGAGGTGTTGCTATGTTGCTTAGGATGGTCTTGAACTTCTGCTCAAGAGATCATCTGGCCTTGGCCTCCCAAAGTGTTGGTGAGCCACCTCTCTGGCCGAATCCGGACTTTTAACCATAAGTTAAGCACTTGGAGAGACAGAAAAAAAAGGCAGTACAGAACAGCACGTAGAGAATGGCCACGATTGTATTAAAATACATATATGTATATTTTACACCCAGAAAAAAGGCTGAAGGCAATCCACCACATGTGATCATCTCTGGAGGTGACTTATGCTCTCCTTCCACTGTGGGGCTGGAGCAGAGAGAAGGATGGTCGTCACCCCCGCAGAAGGCAAGAGACTACCCTTAGCGTTGATAACAACCATACCTCACACTCACAGGCTCCTTTGCGGTTACAAAGTGTCCTTCTTCACTGCTGAGCGTTTGCTCCTCACCACAGCCATTTCACAGGAAAGGAAGCTAAGCCTCAGAGAGGCTGCGACTCTCTCTCAGACAGCCCGTGGCATGGCTGGGGCCAGGACGGACCTCTGCACGTTCCGAGTCCTGCAGGCGCACGTCCTGGAGAGAGGGGAGCTGGCAGAGAGGTCCAGGCGGGTCTGGGAGCAGGGCCGGGGGCGGGGTGACGAGTGTGGCAGTTCCCGAGTCTGCCGACAGAGGGCGCCGCCGCCCCGCAAGTCGGCCGGGCCACGCCCCCTACCGGGACCCGCCCCTTTGCAGCGGGGAACCGCAGCACCCAGTGAGGAGCGGCTCGGCGGGTTGGGGTTCGAGGGGATGGGAGGGCGGTGGACTGGCTGGGCCGGGGCAGGAGGAGCAGCAGCAGGGGATGGGCTGGGCCAGAGCAGAAGGAGGAGCCGCAGGGGAGGTCACCGGCGGGCCGGGGTTTGCGTGGGTAAGAGGTTGAGCGTCTGCGTGGGTGAGGGGTTGAGCGTGCAGAAGCGCCCGCGTCTGCGGCTGGGAGCGCGAGATGGAGGCGGGGTGGGGGCGGGCTAGTGCGAGGGGAAGGTCCCGGCGTGGCGGGCGGCGGTGCGCTATGGCGCCGGGACTTCCTGAGGCGGCGGGACTAGCTGCCTCGGGAGGCGGTTACTCACTCCGGCGCTGCCGCTTGCTTCCTTCCCAGATCCCAGCAAAGCACAACCCTGAGGTCCCCTCTGCGCTCCCACCCGAATCGCAGCGGCGGCACGCCCAGGAGGGAGGTGGCCTCTGCAGCTCAACCCACAGCCTCCCGGCCCCGGGGCGGGAGAGGGTGGAGAGGGAGGGCAGCGCCCGGCGGACTCCACCCGAGCAGCACCGCCAGCCCCCAACCGCTGCAGTCTAGCCCAGGCCTTGAAGGCCAGCCTGCAGCCTCTTGAGCAGCGCGTGGGGCTCCAACCCCCAGCACCTCCACCTGTCCCATGTCTCCGAGCTGAGCCCCAACTCTGGTATAGACGATAACCCGTGAAGAGCAGCCTCCGGCAGGGATCCCCCTCCGGCTGTGCGCCCCAGCCCCGCCTCCTCTCCCCCCACCTCGCCCCTGAGCACTGGCAACACCCAGCCAGCCGGCAGGGGCTGGACACTGTGTTGAGCCCCGCCCCCATCTCCTCCCTCGCCCCCACACATACCCCCTCCAACCAAGGCGAGGACGCAGATGTGTCAGCTAGGATCCCTGCCCTCTAACAGCTCCCAGTCTCTAGGGAGACGGCCACCATCCATACCAAAGCTTACACCAGGAAGCAGAAAGTGGTTCCTGGCCAGTGGGAGGCACAGGTCCTTAACTCCCCAAGAAGACACAGCCTCAGGGGGCCGAGTTCGGCCAGTATTTAGAGCCCTAAGGATCTGTGTGGGAGGAAGCTCAGAGGTCTCGAGAATCATCTTGAGTCAGCATCCTTTCAATAAAGACTCACTGAGCACCTAGGGTGCTTTAAAAATACCAGCACCCCAGCCCACCCTAGAACTCCTGGATCAGAATCTCAAGGGGACCAGGAGCGGTGCCTCACACCTGTAATCCCAGCACTTTGGGAGATCGAGTTAGGAGAATTGCTTGAGCCCAGGAGTTTGAGACCAGCCTGGACAACGTGGCAAAACCTCTTTCTACAAAAAATACAAAAATTAACCTGGTGTGGTGGCACAGGCCTGTAGTCCCAGCTACTCTGAACGCTGAGGTGGGAGGATCGCTTAAACCCAGGAGATTGAGGCTTCGGTGAGCTATGATTACACCACTGCACTCCAGGTTGGACCACACATCAAGACCCTGTTTCTTTTTTTTTTCTTGAGACAGAGTCTCCCTCTGTTGCCCAGGCTGGAGTGCAGTGTCCCAGTATCTGCTTGCTGCTACCTCCACCTCCCAGGTTCAAGCGATTCTCCTGTCTCAGCCTTCCCAGTAGCTGGGTTTACAGGCATGTGCCACCACACCTGGCTAATTTATATATTTTTAGTAGAGACTGGGTTTCACCGTGTTGGTCAGGCTGGTCTTGAACTCCTGACCTCAAGTGATCCCAGCCTCCCAGAGTGCTGGGATTACAGGCGTGAGCCACCGCACCCAGCTGACCCTGTTTCAAAAAACAAAAAACAGAAAAGAATTGCAAGGGGGAGGGGAAGGGAAAAAAGAATGGCAAGGGTAGGAATACAGCCCTATTTGCTGTTAAATGTTCCCCACCCTACTGACTGCTGTAGCTGCCAACCACTGGTCTTGCCTTATTTGCCCAGAGACCACACTCCTCAGAGAGAGTGGCTCGTGCCAAGCCCTCAATTAGAGTGAGATTTGGGGGGCTCCAGAAGAAGCTATGTATGCTGGGACCTGGGTGGGCTGTCACTCTGTGGGTTGCTGAGTGGACCAGATCAACTGTGAGACATTAAAGGCTAAGTGACTTTGTAGGGGAGCAACTGGGAAAGAGACCCAGAGGCAGTATTTGCATTTTTACTTTTTGCATAAATTTGTGTGTTCTCCCCACAAAGGCCAACTGCAAGATGGAAGGATCACTGAAGCTTAGGAGGTGTCCCTGAAAGCAAAAATTCATGTGTCTTAGGCAACCTGGTGGTCTCCTGCTCCTGGGAGGTCCCCATATTGATTGCATGCAAGACCCATCTCTAAAAATAAAAATAAAATATAAATAAATAATAAAAACACTCTTGCATCCTACAGTTGAAAAGTATGTTTCCTCCGCTATCAACCCCAGTCCATGAGCTTTCATACCACACAGGGTTCTCTGTGCAGAGAAGATCTGTTGGTTGGAGTCATTTAGTTATTTAGTTAGATGTTCTGAACTCAACTGCTCATTCATTCATGCAGACGTGCCTGCCTTCGATCAGTGCTGGCGTGAGATGGGGTTCACTCCCTTGGGAGCCCACAATCTGGGTGGTGGGGTGAGGAGAGGCCCTGGGGACCAGAAGCGTTGGGAGGGTGTCTGAACACTTCAGATAAATGGTTGTGGGGTTCAGGGGGGGCTCCACTTTGTACGAGCCTGCAGCAGGCTGAGGAAGGGCTGAAGAGGTGGGCTCTAAGGAGGGAGGGAGGCTGCTCCCAGCGGTTGGCTGATGGGAGAGCCCTGCTCTGTCTCCCTCTCCACCTGGTATGGTCCGGGCTCCGAGAGGCGCAGTGTTCCGGGGTCCCCACCAGGGGTCAGCACACCGCTGCACTCTGGCTGTTTTACTCTCTTGAGGAACTCTCCTGGGTTCCCCTGGCCCCTCCACAGCTCCCAGCTTCCTTTCTGTCTCACTTCTCTGAGCCCATCACTCCCCTGTTACGGTCATTTCATCCACCCGTCAGTGCAGGACCAGGCAGCCTCCCAGCCAGCCAGCCTGACGTCTCTCCTGAGCTGGGGAATCCCACAGCCTCCCTCACTTCCCAGCCGGCTGGGCAGCAGAAAGGGCCTCCTGCTGTCCTTTTCCTGCTGCCATTCAGTGCAAGGTCTCTGGTTTGGTTTCCAGGGGAAATGGGAGGGTTCGGAGGTTCACTCCTTCTAATAAGTTTTCCCACATGTGTTAGCAAAGCTCTTCTTCAAGCCCTCCTCCCCTGTTTTGTGGACCCCACCAAGTCTCCAGAGGCCCGCTCTGCTCCCCTTAGGCGGGACTGCTCTTCCTCCCTTCAGCACAACACCCGCATGCATGGAACCGAGAGCTCTCTGGGCTGGCCCCTCCTCTTACTGCTCCCTGGCAAACCTCGGACCTACTCTTTCAGGTCCTACCTCTCATATACCCACCACGCCAACACCTCTTTTTCCACAGGTGAGGCCCCTAGCCTGAGAGGCTCAGCTCATTCTTCACCATCTCTTCCACCCTGTCCTCACACCTCTTCCTCCAGGAAGACTTCCTTCTCACCACCCTAAGCTGTAGAGACAAACAGGCATGAGAGCATCCTGGCCTTGCCAGGTGCCAGCTATGCTGCCTTCACCTAATTCTCAGTCTCTTTATCTGTCAAATAGAGTGATACACAGCTTTCAGATGTACTGTGAGGTCTCAGTAAGGTAATGGATGTGGAAGTGTTAGCCCAGCACATAGCGACACAGAAGTCACCTATCCTTTTCTTTTTTTTCTCTTTTGAGATGGAGTCTCTCTCTCTTGCCCAGGCTGGAGTGCAGCGGTGCTATCTTGGTTCACTGCAACCTCCGCCTCCCAGGTTCACACAATTCTTTTGCCTCAGCCTCCCGAGTAGCTGGGATTACAGGCACCCACCACCATGCCTGGCTAATTTTTGTATTTTTAGAAGAGATGGTATTTCGCCATGTTGGCCAGGCTGGTCTTGAACTCTTGACCTCAGGTGATCCACCTGCCTCAGCCTCCCAAAGTGCTGGGATTACAGGCATGAACCACTGCACCCGGCCACCTATTCTTTTCTTGTAGTGCAGCTGCCACCCCCACTGCCCACCCCCAGCCTGATGATGGGAACCTGCCCTTGCTAGGTGCACTGGCTGCTTCTGCAGGGCTCTGTGGGGACCTCAGACCAGAACCCTATCAGCAGGGCCATGTCCCTCCCCTGACCATGCATGAAGCCTGGAGTGGAGACCTCTGTCCTCCCCTGGAATTGTTGGGAGCCCCTCTGGCCTAGCATGGGGGAGGGGCTCCCACAGAGTTCCCTGAGGCTTAAAGGAGCAGAAGGCTGGTGGGAGGTGAAGGAGGGGTGGCAGGGCAGGGGGAATACCGACCACACAGTATTCTGAGTCCCTGCTCCTTTTCCCATCCACCCCCACCCCCTCCGCCAAACACGATCCCTGGGTTAATTTTTAGCATCGCAGCTCGCACATTAGTCACTCCCTGTCACCCACCTACACGGCAGGAGGCTGCTGTGCTGGTGCCGTCATCCCATCAGCTGAGAGGTGGGATCTAGCCCCGCCCTGGGCACCCCTCACCCTCCCCTACGAACTCACGGCTGGCCAGGAGTCCCCATCAGCCTGGGTGAGGGGGCACCGACATCACTCCTGGGACTAGCTACATGGCAGGGGGTAGGGACAGACTGATGGCCAAGGGACTTGGAATCTACTCGGGGGAGAATCTAGGGAGGCCCCTGCAGCCTTTCACCCCCTGTAAGGTGCCAGGCTATGCCCAGGCAGTTGGTATCCTGGCAGCCTTGGGATCTGGGAACAAAGGTGTCAGGAGGCCCCTCCCCTAGACCTGAGCCTCTGGAAGCCAATGTTTGTTATCGCCACAGAGCAGCTGTTCAAACAGGGAGCTTGGGGCAGCTCCATTTTCTTAATCAAATGTCCTCCCTTCCTGGGACTGGGGAGGACAGGGTGGCCAGGTGCAGGTGCTCTTGCTGGGGCTGCCACCCAGCCTCAAAGGGATTTTGAGAGAAGGGCCTACAGATGCCAGCTACAGATGGAGCAGAAGAGGGGACATCTCACCCAGCCCCTGGGGCTCAGAGGTAGGGAGGTGGTGGTTACCCTAGGCAGGGTTGGCCCCAAGGAGGCATTCACTCATCGGCATGAGTTAATAGAGCCCCTCTGAGCCCCTCCTGTGTGCCAGGCTCTGTTAGGCCCTGGAAGTGCAACTTCAAACAAGGCTGGGTTCCTGCCCTCACAAAGGCAAGACAGAAACAAAAGAAGTCAGTGCGATTCCCAATTGGGAGAAAGTGCTATGAAGTAAAAAAGAAAATAGACGGGCGTGGTGGCTCATGCCTGTAATCCTAGCACTTTGGGAGGCCAAGGCGG